TTTCAATTTATGTGAAGAATGTGATGAAAAATTAAGCACTAAAACTATTACAGGAAAAAATTACATTTTAATATATTAAATTAGAAAACAATTATTTTAAATTGTAATAATGTTTCACAATATTGCTGTTTTTGATCAAATAAATGCAGCATTGGTGAGCAGAAGACACTTCTTTCAAAAACATTTAAAAAAAATTGAAATAATATATATATATAATATTTATAAGCCAACACATTTAAAGTAACATCCAGGAAGCCTCTGATTTCAATTGTTTATGTGTATTTGCAGCCGTAAACAAGAGGGAGGGCAGAGACGGTGATGTCCTAATGCCACACGGGTCCATAGATCATTCACTTCAAACAGAGCTGGGACACACAGACGCCCGTCTGACCGGCGACTGCTAGACGTGCCAAAACACAAGACAGGGAAGAGCCGGGCTGGGAAGTCAAGGTCATGACCTCAAAAAAACGTGAAAAGGACCAATAAACGATATGAAGATCACACTTTTTTCTACTAAAGAGGACCTGTTATACCATTATAAGTCTTCGTTTTATTTTCGAGCTCTACTAGCCATATTGCGGCTCCTCTCTTCCCAGTCTGTCAGTAACGCTCCGTTTACTTCCTGTCTCTATGAAGCCCCTCCTTCTGAAAGCACACCGTGCTCTGATTGGTCAGCTGGATCAGTGTGTTGTGATTGGTCGAGCGCTTCAAGTGTGTTTGAGAAATGTCCCGCCCCTTCCTATAACCAGTTTAATGGTGCGTTCAAGTCCTCCTGGGAAGTTCGTACGTACGAGGTGGGAAGTCGTGTTTACGACGGCAGGCGCGTTCAAGTCACTTTCGTCGGAGGAAGATGGCGGAGTACTTTCTCTTAATTAATTACACAAAAATACAGTAAGGTTCTTAAACTCTTGTTCTAGAAAAATGAAGAACAAAGAGATGTGCATCAGATGTACTTTGTTTTTTAATGTTTTTAATTAATTTATGAAGCCACTGCCAACTTTATCGTTACATGTTGCATTGTTATATTATAATGCCATCATATTCTGTGCAGGAAATTCGCTTAACTGCGCTGTAAATAGAAAATCTTGACAATATCACTGCATAATATTTAAGTATTGTGGTATTCCACCATGTTTCTCAGTGACACGCCCACAACTCGGAAAGATCGTAGTGCACCATAACACACTACTAAACTAACTCAACCAGGCCCCGCCCCTTTATTCTGCGTATGAATTATTTAAATGAGGAATATTGTGACGTCGTGTTCGTTCCCGGAAGAAACTCAAGACTACAATGGAGGCGTTTCAGGAGTTCAGAAACACTGACACTGATATAGAGGGACTTTGCCGAGCTTTTTCATTATCAAACAGCAACATTACACACACTGAAGAAGTGCTAAGCCTCCTAGATAAATCACAGCATTGCAACCTTTGATTTTAAATGTAAAGGTGCAACATAAAATTATTGACTATAAGTCATTGATGAGTAAAGGCAATGTACTTAATATGTATTGCAGCATGGGACCGGGTTGAACGAGACTTCATTTGCAATGCTTATGGCATGGAGAAAAACGATTGCACTCTATTGAAGATCCAAGACATGGCATGCATAAATGAAACAATTATATGCTGTGTATAGTTGAAGCATCTGGCGTTTGATCAGTGAAACGCAGCTTTATGTTTTTCATACTGATAGGATTCAGAATACCTGCGTGTCTCGTGCCGTTCTCCGATAGTTGAGGGTCATTTCCAAAACCAAGATGTGAACAATGATGAATGATGAGGAGAATTATAATGAATAACGAATCTCTGGAGACGCCGAGATGGTTTAGAATAAATGATGTCTGAAACAAGAAAAGATATTAGCCAAGTGTTCACTCTGTTTTCATGAACAATCTGATAAAATCGTCCCAGCTGTGACTCAAACCTCATTTAAAGACACAATAGAGACAGTTATGAATTGAGAGAGATTGAGTGAGCTGAGGTTTCTCTTAGAAACTATTATCTCTAAGGTCATTTGTATTAGACCGGCCTACGTTTAAAATATTGGAGACAATACATCAATCACAGGAAGGCGTACAGGAATGATTTGCCAATCAGCAGCCTGGGAAAACCGTAGAGATATCGCATATTCATATATACTTATGAGCATATACTTACACAATGATTTTGCTGGTTATGTAAAATTAAATGACATTGTGAATAATTGGTCTAGTTTTCATTAAACAAACATACAGAACATAAGGTGTTTCAGGCTAATAGCTTTTAAGAGTGAGTTTGTTTAATTTCTGGGAGTTCAATGAATCAGTTCAAAACTCTGATTCAATGATTCGGTTGTGTTACAAAACGAATCACTTGAAAACATGGCGTGATTAGTAATTCACAACGTTTGTTTGGTTGAAACTAGAAAATGAGAGATAAAAAACTTTTTAGCCATAAAAAGTATACACTGAAATAAAATTGGAACGGAAACAATTTTCGGTAACACTTTTACTTGAAGAAGTGTGCATAAGACTGACATGACACCTTCATAATCATGACATAACACATGTCATTAACATGAAGGAGGTTTTATGCATGTTTATGACAACTGTCATTAAGTGTCATTCGCCCAATTATGACATTTTTAATGCAAATTTGACATTGTTTGAGATGTCTTTGTTATGACAACTTGACATAAACCAATACATCATAACCTGTCAGTGTCTTTGTCATGACAACTTGACATTACCAAGACAACATAAATTTCTTAAGTTTGATAATTAATCTGCTATGTCATGTTTATGACATATCTATGACAATTTTCTTGTCTTGGTAATGTCAAGTTGTCATAACAAAGACATCTCAAACAATGTCATATTTGCATTAAAAATGTCATAATTGAGCGAATGACTCTTAACCTGCATTTGCCATTGCATGTTTAAAACAATTATATCTTAGTAAAAACCTAAAGTAATATTGCCAAACTATATATCATTTGAAAGCTTACAATCTCTAGTTTTCATATTTGGTGGCTGTTATCTAAAATAAATTACAGAGGAGCAGTAATTTATCAATTTGCAACAAGAATATTTCATATTCATTAGGAGTATTTAGGCCTTTATTTTGAAATAACAATAAACACGAAAAATCATGAAAGATTGGTAGAAACCTCAGTTTGTTTTCATGCCATGAATTCAAAAGATAACACCAATTCCATTTTATGAGAAAAAAAGGTCTGAAAATGTTTTAAATATAAAGAAAAATGTATGGATTCTTGATTTCTGATTGGCTGCGAGCTATTACGCTATAACGTAGTCTTTTTATGCGTTTATTAGAGGTTGAATTCAAATCAAATACTGCCAAACCACCCATACTACTTCTGAATAGGATGTCTACTTCATAAATTGTATGAAAATTATGGAAATACATGGTTCAGATCACTCAAAACATATATGAAAATGGAGGCGCCCTTATATGGGCAGTAATGGAGTCTAGTGAAAAAGTTGGGTACTGCGCCCAAATAAAATCTTACTGAAAGCTCATTTTTTTAGATATCAACCTAAAATTTGGAATACAACTTGTTCAGATTTTTGTCTTTAATTTTCTTGCAGTTTTAGAGTAAAATATATTTTGTAATATATATGTTTTATGTAAAATATTAATAATTATATTTTTACATTACACAATTTCTTAAAGTCAAACTTATATAACTTTTTGTCTGTTTCATTTTTTATCATTTCTAGACTTCTACAATAATCTGGAAAATGTCTTCTTTAAAACAAGACCAGCCATAGGTCTATATTCCAATTTTATGTCTATGCAAAAAAAAGGGGGGTGACAGTTAACAGGTTAATGACAGTTGTCATAAACATGCATATGTCATGATTATGAAGGTGTCATGTCAGTTTTATGCACACCCCTTCAAGTAAAGTGTACCCAATTTTCACTGTAAATTTCACAAACAATTGCAAAGAAATGGCAAGTAACACATTCAATTAAATGTGACATTTTTCTTCTACAATGTGCTCCAATAATCTTTGTTTTATTTACAATTCAAAAAATAATTTGACAGTGTAGAAACTGATATAAATAGATTATTTTATTGTTCATTTGATTGGCCCACAATGGCTGCTCTTCATAATGGCTGTTCATAAATTACAGAAGTAAATTCAGTAGTTCAAAATCATCAGAGTCAGTTATACAATATTTAATCTCTGTAGACAATCTTTACAAGAGCAAATCGTTAGGATGCTGATGCTTCGAATTATAACAAGCAAATGAAGCTCAAGGAGATGTTTAAATAACCTTAGCTGCAATGAAACATGCTTAATATCAGTGTCAATTATGAGACATTCACAGACCATTACTTTGAAACAAAGTTTATTAAGTGACTGTGAAAGTGACGCAGAATCCTCTCTGAGGACAGATTACGAGAATATTAAAATTGCGGCAATTACTTTTCACTGTTTATTTTTTGGTCAACTGTAAGGCCACTAGGGTAATCACTGCAGTTAAGTGCCTTTTAAAGCAACATTTATTGCTAAATAATCATCATAAAGCAGCAATCTGGTAACAGTCCTTTGATATTTACCTTGCAAAAATGAACTGGTTCACATTAAACAGTCTAATATTACCAGCACAGTAATCATACGGTGGAAAGAAGAGTTATTTTTAGTTATATTGTTTGCTTCATTCGCTGTAAAGTGCCCCTATAATGCTTGTTCAAATGTTACCTTTCATGTAATACAGCTGTTTGTGAATGTGAACGCTCTGCAAAGTTTTAAAGATCAAAGTGCATGACAAATAAAGTTAGTCTCCGAAGAGACCGAACCGTATCAGACACTGAGGAAAGAGCTGATGCTGCAACGATTATTGAGAAAATTCAAGTGTTTTTTGACCTTGGATGCGTGTAAATCTATTGTAGGAGACTTTCAAATTTAAAATAGCAGAATAAGGGCGCTTTAAAGTAGCAGTTCATCCACAAATAAAAATAAAAACCTTTGGTTATTTACTCACCCCTGTCGTTCCAAACTCGTATGTTGTGATTTCTTTAATGAAACACAAAAGGGGAACTGAAGATTCTTCATGAACACAAGCTCCAAAAAGGATAAAAACACTGTAAAAATATTTATCATATTCCAAATTGTACAGCATATTTACAGGAAGACTAGACCAAAGTCTTTACTCACTAAAAATCCTCAATGTCACTTTTTAAATCAAATAAGAAACCTTGTTAACACTTTACTTGAAGGGGTGTGCATAAGACTAACATGACACCTTCATAACCATGACATGACACATGTTATGAATATGAAGGAAGTTTTATGCATGTTTGTGACAACTGTCATTAAGTGTCATTCGCTCAATTATGACATTTTTAATGCAAATATGACATTTTTTGAGATGTCTTTGTTATGACACCTTGACATTACTAAGACAACACAACCTGTCATAAACATGACATAGCAGATTAATTATCAAACCACTTAGCTTTATTGGTTAACATTACATTAAACTGTCAGGTGGTTGGTTTTGACATTGGCTGTCATGAGGCCATTATAACTGTTTAATGACAAATTCAATTTGTACCACTGTAGTTGAGGTCACGAAAAATATTCATGACACAGTTATAATGGCCTTATGACAGCCAATGTCAAAACCAACCACATGACTGTTTAACTTAATTTAATGTCAAGTTGTCATGACAAAGACACTGACAGGTTATGATGTTATGGTTTATGTCAAGGTGTCATAACAAAGACATCTTAAACAATGTCATATTTGCATTAAAAATGTCATAATAGCTGGGTTTCAGTCACGTGATTATGATGACGCGCGAAATTCAGATGGAGGGCAGGGAGTGAAGAGCGCAATGGACGAGATGGAGGAAAGTCCGTACTGTACTACTTTACACGCTATTACAAGAGAAAGATATAAACAAAAAATCAAACATATGTTGGACGTGATCCTTACGTTATGAAGAGGAGCGATTTTCAACTGAATTGAAAGATTTTCCTGCCATCGAGGCGGTAGATATCAGCAACTACCTCGTCTTACAGGCATACTTTGACTTTACAAAGTTCGGAAACGTTACACATTACACAAACATAGCCACTTAAGTTGTATTAACTCACATTTGATGAAGTGATCCCTGCACACACGGGCATTTTCCCATTCGGCTCCTCCCGACCGCAGACGTAGGTTTGCAAGCCGTTTTCCCGGAGTTTTCCGGTCAATTTCTTGCATTTTCCCCCCTTATGAACAACAACTTTTGGTACACGATAAAACCTCCTCGTGGTTTGATCAATTTAAGTAACCATAAACGACGCAAGACATGCATTTTGAGTTTGTTATAGTGCTTTCTAAATACAGCAAATCACTTCCTGCCCTCCATTTGCATTTCGCGCCATGTAGTGATGGCCGGTTCGTGAACGAATCGTTCTTTTGAACCGGTTCTTTTTAGTGAACCGGTCGAACCAGTACACTAAATCGGACTGAATCGTTCGAAACAGTTCGCGTCTTGCGTCAGCGCTGATCCACAAGTTAAAGTTACTCACTTTCAGACAAGCCTGACAGTCCCTCCGAATCGAAATAACCCATATATTTATATATATAACCGGTATATTTTACTCCAGTAAATGCAACAGTTCACTGAACTGAGACATGTTGTGCTGAGAGAAATGATGAGATTGAGCACGAACAGCTGATACCGCGCATTCGCGTTCTACTAAACGCACAGGTACACAGCGGATTATCACTGTATTATTTTAAAGTTTGGAAACAACGAATGGATTGTAAAACTGTCAAACTAAACATTTATTATTATACTAAAATAACATTTTCAGGAACAGCTCATTTAATTTCTAAGTAAGTTGATATAAATCTTTGATGTAAACTCTTGCCAAGGTTTTAATGGTGCACTGCTTAGTAAATGTTTATAATGTGTTAAAAACGTAACGTATTAAACAGGAGACATGCATCGATTTTTTAGTTTTGTCGACTGTATTCAGGTTTCAGCAGTTCTCAGCTCAGCACACACAGGCCTATGACGGTTCTCTAGTCAATAACTGGTTGTTGCAGTTCTTGAATCACCAGTACAGAACCGAGAACTGTTTCTTTCGGACACGTTCAAAACGGAGAACCGATGAGCTGGAGATACTGCGCATGCGTGATAACACCGTCTCTAAACAAAACTTTATTTCGCCAACTGATGCTGTGCTGATACATGAGCACGCAGCACGGGTGAACCGAGGACTTAAATGAGGGGCCGAATTCGCCAAAATGTAAGTTTATTTAACAACAAATAGAATGATGAAGACCATTTATGCACTTTATATCTTTAAGACATGTAAAACATCCGCGTTTGCACATCGCCTGTAGGCTGGGTTCGTTTGCAAAACATAAATTTAAGAAACTTATCCAATATGATTATGACGATGAGTACTATTATTTATACTATGAGTTATGATTACAAATGCCTTTAATTTAAAGTATTTTTATCCGCCGGGATGATAGAATTGACGTCATTACGTGATGACGTAAAAGAACTGGTGAACCGGTTTTTTGAACCGGTTCATTGAAACGAACTGTCCGAAAGAACCGGTTCGCGGAAAAGAACCGGACTTCCCATCACTAGCGCCATGGCAACGCAGTGGCGTGACGTCATATGAAAACAAGCTATTGAGCGAATGACACTTAATGACAGTTGTCATAAACATGCATAAACCCTACTTCATATTCATGACATATGTCATGTCATGGTTATGAAGGTGTCATGTCAGTCTTATGTACACCCCTTCAAGTAAAGTGTTACCAAAACCTTTAAATGCATCACATCAATTTTCCTGGATTTGGTTAATGGGGGAAGAATGACTTGGAGACCATGGAGAAAAATAACAGAAAATGAGCTTAAGTATAATTTATATAAATATGACACAAAAAATTCAGTAAACTAAGAACTGTTTGTAGCAGTCCATCATGTTAATCAGGTCTTTTGGAGGTTAAGTTATAGAAAAAAACTTAGTAACAAACATTCCTTCAGTCCTGAGATGTCCAGCATTTCGCTACAAAGCAAACTTAATAGCTTTTGGAATATTTTCTCATTTGCTTCTTAGATTAGTTGATGCTTTCCGAGATAAGAAGCTAATAATCCCAGACGGAGCTCATTTTCTTGTTTTTTTTTTTTGAGGGACTCGTACGTGCAGGTGCTTTTGTTTCCGATTTTAACACTAAATTTCACTGGAACCGCTAATGACATTTCTTCACGGCTTCATTCATCCCGTAACGACCTTCCAGAACAACACAAAGAGGAAGAGTTTTCTCCGGGAGAATTTTAAATTAAACGAGGCACTGAACAAACAACTGATACTTCAAGAAAAAGCATGAAGACAAAATTGAAAGCAACAAAGCTGGAAAATTAGCAAAAGGAAAATGTCTGGGGTGTTTCATAAGGCAGAGAAAACTAAAAAAAAAGGTAAAAAACTGTATTCCACTGTTTAGTCCGGAGTTAGTCAGGATGAATAAATAGATGCTTTCAGGATCATAGGATCCTGGTGTCAGTGCTATTGAAAACTTCTTGACCTCTGACCTCAACTCTAGCAAGCATGGCTTCACTGTATCAGACATACAGCACTGAGAGACTCTCGACTCCTGAGCGCAAGTCAACATGTTTCATTCGGCCCACTTCAGTCCTGTGTCATTCTCTGAAGGCCTTTTGTCCTCTGGAAGGGCCAGAATCTCTTTCCCAGAATGCCTGAAGCTCATTGTGTGAACATGTGGATGCCGTGATGCTCCAGCTGTGCTCGGAGACGCCCGTTCTCGCTCTTGAGCTCCTCCAACTGAAAACAACAACATAGAAGTTGAGTATTACATCTGAAGATGAAGAGGCAAATGTTTTGCATAATACTTACGTTCACATTGATGCGTTTGCTAGACATTTTTATCCAAAGCGACTTATTGTATTGAAGCTGTGCTTTTATTTTTCAATTCATGCATTCCCTGAAACCCGTGACCTTGGCGTTGCTAGTGCCATGCTCTACTGTTTGAGCTACAGGAAGGCAGAATAGAATAGAATAGAATAGAATAGAATAGAATAGAATAGAATAGAATAGAATAGAATAGAAATGTAAATAAAATAGAATACAATAAAATAAAATAATAGAAAAGAGAATAGAATAATAAAATAAAATAAATAGAATAGAATAAAGGAAAAGATAAAATAAAAAATAAAATAAATAACTAAATAAAATATAAAATAGAATAGAATAGAATAAAATAGCATAAAAGTACAGAAAAGAAAAGTAAAGAAAATAATATTTAAAAATAGAATAGAAGAAAATAGAACAGAAGAAAAGAAAATATAAAAGATGAATAGAATAGAATAGAAATTAAATAATAGAAAAGAGAATAGAATAAAATAAAATAAATAAATAAATAAAATAGAATAAAATAAAATAGAATAGAATAAAATAAAATAAAATAAAAAATAAAATGAATAAAATAAAATAAAATATAAAATAGAATAGAATAAATAAAATAGAATAGCATAAAAGTACAGAAAAGAAAAGCAAAGAAAAAATTTAAAATAAAATAAAATAAATAAAATATTTTAAAATAGAATAGAATAGAAGAAAATAGAACAGAAGAAAATATAAAAGACAAGAAAAGAGAATAGATTAGAATAAAAAGTAGCATAGAATAAAGGAAAAGATAATATATTAATACAGTAAAATAGAATAAAATAAAAGATCAAATGAATGAAATAAAAGATCAAATAAAATAGTATAAAGTACAAAAAAGTAAAGAAAAGAATAGAAGAAAAGAAAATATAGAATAACATAACAGACTAAAACAAGATATTCCATCTATGTTTAATTGGACAGATGTGTTTTAGCACCCTCCTCTGGTGCTGTTGAGCGTGTTCAGCCCAGTAATGGGTTAATGTATGTGATTGGGCTAATTAGTGACCAAAGTGTGTGTGTGATTCAGGGATAGCCTACGTTACGGGGACAAAATGTCTCAACAAAGATGGCAATATCCACAATCCTTGTCCTTGTGGGGACACTTTTTGGTCCCCATGAGGAAATCAGCGTATGTATGGGTGTATATACTGTGGAATAACGTGATTACAGACAAACTAAGATCCCTACACATGACGTTAAAGGCGCACCTGCTGTCTGAGCAGCTCATTCTCCATCTGTACTCTCTCTGCTCTTCTCAAACTCTCCTGAAGCCTCTGCTTATGTTGCTTCAGCTCACCGATGTAATCACACGCCTTCGACAGGATCCAACCTTTACTCTGAGGAACAAAGAAAACATGTGAGAATCAGTTTCAAGGCATCTATTGTACATCACAGGTCAATAATGAGGTCAGATTTTCATTATAAGAACTCACCGCCGCAGTCTTGGCACCATCTACACCACAGTCTGGGATCATCTTCGAGAGCGTCACAATCCAGTTGTTGATTTTGTCTCGCCGTCGCCTTTCAACTGCAAATCAACAGCAAGAAGGAGATCAGAGGCAAAATCTAGGCCATATTGTCTAAAATTGCAATACGTGTTGAGTCTATCAACCCTCTACTGACATCTGCAGGCAGAGTCTTTTGCTTTGCTTTGAGTAAAGACTAATATTAGATGAAGAGAATTCACTGACCTTCATTATGGTGTGCTCTTCTCCTCTCATCCCTAGGGGTGCGCGGACTGTCCATGTTCCTACAGTAATAATGGGGGGGAAATCAATGCATTATTTCACATATTTATTCACTTTAGTATCTCAATGAAGGCGTTTTAAAAGGCTTAACATCTGCAACCGTATCCTTATCCTAAAGAAAATTACAAAAAAAAAAAAAAAAACCTAAACCACTATATATATATATATATATATATATATATATATATATATGTGTGTGTGTATGTATATGTATATATGTATTTTTTTTCATTTGCATTTATTTAAACATACATGCATACATATAATATATATATATATATATATATACACTCACCGGCCACTTTATTAGGTACACCTGTCCAACTGCTCGTTAACACTTAATTTCTAAGCAGCCAATCACATGGCGGCAACTCAGTGCATTTAGGCATGTAGACATGGTCAAGACAATCTCCTGCAGTTCAAACCGAGCATCAGTATGGGGAAGAAAGGTGATTTGAGTGACTTTGAACGTGGCATGATTGTTGGTGCCAGAAGGGCTGGTCTGAGTATTTCAGAAACTGCTAATCTACTGGGATTTTCACGCACAACCATCTCTAGGGTTTACAGAGAATGGTCCGAAAAAGAAAAAACATCCAGTGAGCGGCAGTTCTGTGGGCGGAAATGCCTTGTTGATGCCAGAGGTCAGAGGAGAATGGGCCAGACTGGTTCGAGCTGATAGAAGGGCAACAGTGACTGAAATAACCACTCGTTACAACCGAGGTATGCAGCAAAGCATTTGTGAAGCCACAACACGCACAACCTTGAGGCGGATGGGCTACAACAGCAGAAGACTCCACCGGGTACCACTCATCTCCACTACAAATAGGAAAAAGAGGCTACAATTTGCAAGAGCTCACCAAAATTGAACAGTTGAAGACTGGAAAAATGTTGCCTGGTCTGATGAGTCTCGATTTCTGTTGAGACATTCAGATGTTAGAGTCAGAATTTGGCGTAAACAGAATGAGAACATGGAACCATCATGCCTTGTTACCACTGTGCAGGCTGGTGGTGGTGGTGTAATGGTGTGGGGGATGTTTTCCTGGCACACTTTAGGCCCCTTAGTGCCAATTGGGCATCGTTTAAATGCCACGGCCTATCTGAGCATTGTTTCTGACCATGTCCATCCCTTTATGGCCACCATGTACCCATCCTCTGATGGCTACTTCCACCATGTCACAAAGCTCTAATCATTTCAAATTGGTTTCTTGAACATGACAATGAGTTCACTGTACTAAAATGGCCTCCACAGTCACCAGATCTCAACCCAATAGAGCATCTTTGGGATGTGGTGGAACGGGAGATTCGCATCATGGATGTGCAGCCGACAAATCTGCGGCAACTGTGTGATGCCATCATGTCAATATGGACCAAACTCCCTGAGGAATGCTTCCAGCACCTTGTTGAATCTATGCCACGAAGAATTGAGGCAGTTCTGAAGGCAAAAGGGGGTCCAACCCGTTACTAGCATGGGGTACCTAATAAAGTGGCCGGTGAGTGTATATATATATATATATGTGTGTGTGTGTGTGTGTGTGTGTGTGTGTGTGTGTGTGTGTGTGTGTGTGTGTGTGTGTGTGTGAATACATGCATTCATGCATCCAAGCAAATAAGTTAATAAATATACACATAAATAAATAATTTAAGAACAAACACTAAACAAAGACAAAAGTTAAATAAAATAAAAAAATAAATTAAATAAAATAAAATATCGTAGATGGTGAAAAAAACTTTATCTCTAATGATTTCGGATAGCTGTATGCTAAGCTACTATCTAAGCTATATCTAAATAAAAAAAAACACTAAGAACGAGAAATGTTTAATATCACAATCTATCCACAGGTGGATAGCTTTGGTTATATACTAGTATATAAAACATTAGTTAAAAGACATTAATGGTTGTTATAACGTAATATATAATACATTTATATCTGATTTGTAACCAGGCACTAAAGCGATTACCCATAAAAAGTGCTTTGAACCAATCAGATTGCTTGGGTCCTAAGTATGTTCTATATATGATATCCATAATAAAGGCTAGATGTCTCGTCCGCGCTGCTGGCCAATGGAGGTCGACGTCCGCACCTGGCGGCCATCTTGTCACAGGCAGCTCGCTCACTCGTAACATTGTGTTTTAATGGTGCATGTACTTTTTAAATAACCATAACTTGCTCAATTTTCTACCGATTTTCAAACGGTTTGGTTTGTTATAAATGTCAGAGATGTAGTTATGACACTGCACACTTATGAATAATAAGTGTATAAATAAATAATCATCCAGAATTATAGCCACGTTAATAACGTTTGTAAGAAACCAAACCGTTTGTAAATCCGTCAAGATTTCAACGAGATAAGAGTATTTGTGTTCGTGCTGATCACTCATCTTACATCAGGCACCACAGAGCCCGCCAGAAAGCTTGCCTGTGACAAGATGGCCGCCGGTGATGACGATAGAGACTCCGCCGTAAGACATCTAGCCTTTATTATGGATATCTATGCTAGTATCATATGCACACCAGAATCTCGCTGGAAGTAGAAGGTCATCCAGGAACTTTTTTGCCTATACTCTTTTATCTTTTACCAGTACTGTGAATTTGGACATACTGCTTTTGTCACATATTGTTTTTCGCACAAGTATGTGATTTCGGACACAGCTCTAGTGTGAGTTAGAGGAGGCGGGGCCTGTTCTCCCGGACCCCTAAAGCACAGTCTCATCAGCCTAAAGACGGCCCTGAGTACGACAAGCTTAGTCTCAGCTTTGTAAGGTTACAGCTAGTGTTAGTGTGGATTGGCAGATCCCTCCGTAAGGTCTCTCTGCCCTTCGAGTGTGTGTGTGATCTCGAGGGAGTCTCGGCATCGGCTGTGTTCATTACGTTATAAATTGCAGTGCTGAAACAGCTGCCGAAGCCCGACTTTAGCCTAATGACACAACTGTTCTCTGAGTGTAATCTTCCCTCAGGTATACGCTTTAATGAAGTCACGACTCCGCAGCATCGCACAAAACGCCATGAAGGAAGCGAGACACTTTCTAATGCAAACCAACAAAAAGTAAAGAAGCTTTTATTTACTCTTCAGGAAATCTCATTATATCTAGCACTATATACAGGGGAAGTGACCTCAGTATGCGAATGTACCATGTTAAACTAAAGAAACATGACAATGGTCAGCTTAAAGGTGAAGTGTGTAAATTATGCACCACCAGTGGCACCAAATGGAATTGCAACGTATTTTGTTCGAGTGTGCCTGAATGGACAGGATATAATCATATTGGCTCGACCAATGGCATGAATTTGAGATGGGACTATCTGCAAAACATTGGAAGACAAGCATGCTTGAGTGTCTGAAACTTGTTTGGAAATTCATTATTATGTTTGTTGCACGCATCCTCATTTATTTTATATAGACACTATAAGGACAAAAGTATTGGTACATCTGATCATTTCACCAACTGGGACTGTAATGATATAGAAATTTATATTGTATACATAGATTGTAATATGTATTTGTTCCCCCTTTTGCAGCTTCCACTCTTCTGAGGTTTTCCACAAGATTTTGGTGGGTATTTTTTGCACTGATGTTGGACGAGAAGGCCTGACTCGCAATCTACGTTCCAGTTCATCCCAAAGGTGTCGGATGGGGTTGAGGTCAGGACTCTGTGTGAGCCAGTCAAGTTCTTCCACACCAAACTCATCCCACCATGGGTGTGTCCGAAATCAGCCCCATACCCTTAAATAGGGCACTATTTGAGGGGACAGCCATTTGTAGTGGTGTCCGAAACCATAGTTGACGTTACCGAGCGCACTCATTCAATCCCACAATGCACTGCAATAACGATTGAGAATCGATCGGCTAGCTAGAGAATACTCATAATGTATACACCTGTGGCAATGGGTCTGAGTGAAACACCTGAATTCAATAATCAAGAGGTGTGTCACAATACTTTTGTCCATTTTAGTCACATTAGGTGTTGATTTTGTGACATAGAAATGACACTCTATACCTTTAAGAGACGGTTTTGGGTTTTTTTGTGGCTTAAGGGGATGTAAAGGGTTTTCTCACCAGTTAAAACCTTCATGCTGTTGTGTGTTGAGTTAATCTCTGCAGAAAAGGGGCAAATTTATTTCAAAAAAACACTTTGATTGCGTAATTTCAGCTTAAAAGTAGATGGAGCATTACAGAAACAGTTTAATTGGATTGTTACCATCTTTTGCTGACTGATATATTCACATAAACAGACAAATATTACAAGAAATATACTGGAATAGCATACAACCTACAAATGATGTAGTACTTATACTGTGCATATAATAGGAAAATTGTTGGAAGATCTAAATAACATACTACATTTGCTTAAATCTGGGATGTGCAACAGAGCAAACCATAATTTTTGACAATATTTGACCACACTTCAAATACATTTTGCACAAAATTTGATGATGAAAACTAATAAAAATAAATAAATTTTAAAAAAGCACACAGCTAAAACAAATGGATTAGTAAATACTATAATAGTATATAAATAATACTAAAAAAAACACTGGTACTGTGTGATCAGCATTTCATTCTGCATGCAACCCACACTCTCTGGCTACAGTGGCTTTTATCCCAGGAAATAATAACCCGAGGGATTTAAAATTCTAATGGAAGAAAGAAAGATTAGGACTCTTGTGGAATTCATTACGCTGCAGATTTCGCAAAAGCTGTGCGTGTCCAAAAGAAGGAAATAATCAAACAGAAATGACTGAAACAAACGCGTGATTCTTCAGCAGGATATTTCTACTGAGCTTATTCTGGAGGATGAGAATGTTGCAACCGCACACACACGTGAGCATCCACCGTTTTCACAACACTTCTGCTTCTGCAGAGTAAAAACAGTACCTTCAGAAGAAGCACAAAAAAACACAATCTCCCATGAATTATGACTGAATCTGAGCACATGATCCTGTCAAAAACCAGAATCGTGACAAACATCCCTGTTTTCATATGGAGCAGGATCCCAAGGTTAAATGGAGAGCAAGGAACATGCAAAAATTCAACACAGAGCCTGCAGACAATCACTCCTGGGTAAATCCCATCCCAAATTCAAAAGACAGACCCCTGACACGGTATTATTTGACCTATAACATGTGTCAATGTGTCTCATTCAATATGGGTTACGCTTTAATGGACCACACCTGTGGCTTGCTGTCAGTAAATGCAAGATTTGTGTAGACTGAAGGACGATCTTCTGCGGTAAAGTGACAGTAAGATACGGATCTTAAAAATAGGCTTAAAAACTACGGCTGTGCAGCGATTAATGGGCTCTATGCACGGCGATATTTCCGGTGAAGGTCTAAGGATGCTGGATTACTTCCGCCGATCGTAGAGTCCAATGCTATACCGAGAATTTATATTGGTTTTTATACTCTATTGCTATACTAAAGAAACATTAGTCACAAAAACAGACAAAACAGACACCCCTCATTTTGTTTATGCTTCTTTGTTTATTATATTAAATAAACATAACTATATATAAAATTACATCTAAACGTATTAAAGTTTCGTTTCAAAGACGAGAGGACAGTAAATTTTGAAAACTCTGCTATAATCCCGTTTTCCTCGGTTTTCCTCCGCTTTAAATCTCCCCAACCGGAAATGCAAGAGCATCCTTGCATCAAACGCGGAAGTTATGCGTGCATATAGCCCATCGCATCCAAAATAAAAATGTGTGTTTACATAATATATGTGTGTGTACTGTGTATAACTATTTTGTATATATAAATACACACACATGCATGTATATATTTAAGAAAAATGTGTTATTTATACATAAAATATTTTATATAATATAAATTATGTATAAACATATATACATGCAAATATTTCTTAACTATATACATGAATATGTGTGTATTTATATACAAAATAATTATACACACTACACACATATATTATGTAAACACAAACTTTTATTTTGGATTGGATATTCACGATTAATCGTTGTACAGTCCTATTAAAAACATAACACCTGTTTTGTGCCTTTTTTTTGTACTTACACAGTGTAAGTATGTGTGCGTGGAGCTATAGTCCGCTGAGAGGCCGAAAGCAGAGCATCTGAAGGAGTCATCATCACGTAGAATTGACCTAAACCACAGAGACGACAGATGTTGTAACGCTGCACATACTAAAGTCAAATCACATTTACTGCCACTGAGAAAACTCGTGTTTATTCTGATAAGAGATTTATTGTATGATTGTGCAGAGTCTGTAGTTCACAACCAAAGGGATGGACAGAATGACTACAATACTATTTATACATATATACATAATGAATAATTGTATAATAAATATTATAAAATATATATATATATATAATGATGATGATAATAATAATAATTTGTATTATTATTATATGCACAACCAGTCCAAAAAAAATTGGAATAATTTATTTATTTAAACTTTTTGTGAAATTACTCTCTTCTGCTTAACCAAGGCTGCATTTCATCAAAACAGTGAAAGCAAAAAAAAAACTTAATAGAAAGAAAAAATATTATAGTAATATTGTGAAATATTATAATAATTTAAAATAGCTGTTTTCTATGTGAATATATAGTAAAGTGTAATTTATTCCTGTGATCAAAGCGGTATTTTCAGCATCATTACTCCAGTCTTCAGTGTCACATGATCCTTCAGAAATCACTCTAATATGCTGATTTGCTGCTCAAGAAACATTTCTGATTAATGTTGAAATATTTAATATATTTTTTAGTGGAAACTCTGATACACAACCATTATAAAATGTGTGGAGTAGGTAAGACAACGATAAAGAAATTAATATTTTTGTATTCACATTAAATTCACAGTGAAAACATTTATAATGTTACAAAAGATTCTATTTAAAAAATAAATGCTGTTTGTTGAACTTTCGATTAAAAGAATCCTGAAATAAACTACTTTAAAAAAAATGTGGTTGTATATAAATAGTATGCAGCTACTTTGAGATTAAATATTTTTCAGATAAATGGATCTAATAATGAGTTTAAGCACTTGTAATTTCATCAGATTACAAATGAATAAGAAGTCTGACATCATCACATGGATATTTTAGACTCTTGAGGATCAGAGCATGAACTGCGTTCGAAGTCGTTGTGAAATACAGATAATAGCACACCTTACTTTGAAAGTAAACTAACCAACTACATTACCTGGCAGAGTAATTCCTCATTCTGATAATTAATAGTTAGGACCATTCCTCCACTTTCCATGGTTTTTGCGAACCTCCTCTAACTGAAGTCAAGTCAAGTCAAGTCAAATATATTTATATAGCGCTTTTCACAATACAGATTGTATCAAAGCTGCTTCACAGTATCAATCAAAACAACTTAACAGTGTTTGTTTATTACTGGAAAAAGACATCCAAGTTTGGTAGAGCTGATCAGTGGTATGATGGGTCATTTAATTTGAATATCCCCAACTGAGCAAGCCAAAGGCAACAGTGGCAAGGAACCGAAAAACTTCATCAAGTGACCCGATGGTGTCCTAAAACTCCATCAAGTGACCCGATGGTGTCCTAAAACTTCATCAAGTGACCCGATGGTGTCCTAAAACTCCATCAAGTGACCCGATGGTGTCCTAAAACTTCATCAAGTGACCCGATGGTGTCCTAAAACTCCATCAAGTGACCCGATGGTGTCCTAAAACTTCATCAAGTGACCCGATGGTGTCCTAAAACTCCATCAAGTGACCCGATGGTGTCCTAAAACTTCATCAAGTGACCCGATGGTGTCCTAAAACTCCATCAAGTGACCCAATGGAGAAAAAAAAACCTTGGGAGAACCCAGGCTCAGTCGGGGCCAGTTCTCCTCTGGCGTTTATGAAGTAGAGGCCGAATTTACAGTAACTGTAAGATAAAAAATTTAAGTGAATGCCCGGCTAAATAGATGCGTCTTTAGTCTAGTTTTAAACTGGGAGAACGAGACTGAGCAACGAACAATATCAGGAAGGCTATTCCAGAGCTTCGGAGCTAAATGTGAAAATGCTCTCCCTCCTTTGGTGGTTCTGGATATCCTAGGAATGACCAGAAGCCTCGAATTTAGTGATCTTAAAGAGCGCGATGGATTATAGGGCGATAGAAGATCCGTTAAATAGACTGGAGCTAAACCATTTAGAGCTTTATAAGTCAAAAGCAATACCTTGGTAATTAATACGGAACTTTATAGGTAACCAATGAAGTGATGATAGAATCGGTGTTATATGATCATATTTTCTTGATCTAGTAAGAACTCTAGCGGCTGCATTTTGGACTAACTGTAGCTTGTTTATTGAAGATGCAGGACAACCAGCTAATAAAGCATTACAGTAATCTAGTCTCGAGGTCATGAATGCATGAACTAACTTTTCTGCATCAGAGACTGATCGCATATTACGTAGCTTAGCAATATTTCTAAGGTGGAAAAAGGCTGTTTTTGTAACATATGAAATATGCTTTTCAAAAGACAGGTTGCAGTCTAATGTAACACCCAGGTATTTTTCTGTAGCGAATAAAGTAACAGGGCATCCTAATATGTTAAAGTCGTGCTGTGAAAGGTTTTGTGGACGGTTTTTAGAACCGATAAGTATTACCTCTGTCTTGTCTGGATTTAATAAAAGAAGTGAACGACTGTAACGATCAGCTGCTGGATCTATTGAAGCGTGTTGTGATTCTGTACGTGTGTGAGGTGGCAGATCTCAAACTTGTCCGTACCTGTCGTCTGTGTGAACGTGGGTTGGGTTCCCTCGCTCACAAGTGATGCTGGGAAACACACACATCGTGCCTCCTCTCGGTCACCTTCCCCAGCAGGACCGCCTCCATTACTGAAGGAGTGTTGAATTACTGTCTGGGAGAAAACAATGCATACACTTTAACATCTGGCTATTCGGTTATAGCTGAGTTTGTGTAATATTCATCTTTGCAATTAAAGGGATAGTTCACTTTGAAATTAATTTTTGGTATGTTTTAGCTTACCTCAAGGACATCCAAGATGTAGGTGTCTTTGTTTCCGCAGTAGTTTCAATTTTGATATTTTTAGGTCAAACTGTTCTTGTCTGTCAGTCATATAATGCAGGTCTATGGTGTCCACCTCAAAGAGCATGCACAGAGAAGTCCAAATTAAACATGATTTAATAACTCGTAAATGTAAGTACACATTGATGGCCTAAGACACGAAACGAACAGGTTGTGTGAGAAAACGAACAGTATTTATATCGTTTTTACCTCTTGTAAACACAGCCACGTCCAAGTGATCTGAGGGCGCCGGCGCTTCGGTCTGCGCAAGCGCCGGAAGTGATCTCTCGCGCGTGTACGTCACTCATTGTTTACACAGAGATTTCGGAAGTGTTACCTTTCACTGTGAAGATCTAAACATATTTAGATATACAGGAAATCGAAATGGAAGACGATTTCGGATTATCAACAGACAACGTTGAATTTTTTTCGCAACCGCGCGAGAGATCACTTCCGGCGCTTGCCCAGACCGAAGCGCCCGTGCCCTCAGATCACTTGGACGTGGCTGTGTTTACAGGAGGTAAAAACGATATAAATACTGTTCGTTTTCTCACACAAACCGCTCGTTTCGTGTCTTAGGCCATCAATGTGTGCTTACATTTACGAGTCATTAAATCATATTTAATTTGGACTTCTCTGTGCATGCTCTTTGAGGTGGACCCCATAGACCTGCATTATATGACTGACAGACAAGAACGGTTTGACCTAAAAATATCAAAATTGAAACTACTGCGGAAACAAAGACACCTACATCTTATATGCCCTTGAGGTAAGCTAAAACATACCAAAAATTAATTTCAAAGTGAACTATCCCTTTAATGCATTTGGCAGACGCTTTTATCCAAAGCGACTTACATTGCATTTCAAGGTACACTTTTACATTCTTATCAGTTCTTGCTTTCTCTAGGAGTCGAACCCATGACCTTGGTGTTGCAAGCACCAACGCTCTACTGTTTGAGCAACAATGTTCTGCTGTCATGTTTGTCATGTTCTGCTGTGTGTTGAATGAACCATAATGAAGTACGAGCTGGTTTCAAGCGTGTTGATTTCACACAGTACCTGCAGAGATCCAGTGATATTAACCGGCTCTCCGACTTCTCTTCTACCCTCCAGTTTTTGATCTGAGACAGGAGTCACTCGGTACGTCACCTGAGGAGGACAGAGACAGAGGCTGCGTCCGAAATCAAATATACAGGGTTCACACAGATACTGTAAGATTCAATTCCTGGACTTTCAAGGACTTTTCACGCACTACTTTCTTGTTTTTGAGACTGTCTTTGGTTCACTGCAGTTTTAAGGAGAAAACACTCAGCAATGCTGTCGACTTATGAATTTACACATGGTGTGTCTTAAAGCATATTAAAACACAACATAGACACATAGGGCCCTATTTTAACGATCTGAAACGCAAGTGTCAAAGCGCAAAGCGCAAGTAACTTTGTGGGCGGATCCCGGCGCTGTTGCTATTTTCCCGGCGGGATAAATGCCTCTTGCGCCTGGCGCAAATCTAAAAGGGGTTGGTCTGAAGTAGCTTCATTATTCATAGGTGTGGTTTGGGCGTAACGTGAAATAAACCAATCAGAGCGTCATCTCACATTCCCTTTAAGAGCAGGTGCGCTTGTTCTAAAGCGGATTCCTATTATAACGGCGGATTTGCCAGGCGCGCGCCAGGAGCGGTTCACAGCCGAGGAGAGCAACGTTCTCGTCAGGGCCGTAAAACACAGAGAAGTGACATTGGGGATGTAGAAACCCACCCAAATTAACTTCTGTTAAACAGGCGTATGATAATTTGGGTAAATGTGTAAGCTACATGTATGCTTTTATAATAAATTGCCTATCTATCTATCTATCTATCTATCTATCTATCTATCTATCTATCTATCTATCTATCTATCTATCTATCTATCGTAATAATGTATGATTTGCAAAAATGAAAACTGCTGCTTAGATGAGAGAATCAAAGTGTATGCGCGTTGTGCACACGCTACATTGATTATGGCCAAGCATGCGCCCTTAAAATAGCGTAATGAACAACGCGCAACGCGCCACTGACTTTAGACTAGTTTTTTCTGGTCAGTGGCGCATTTGTTACATAGAACAGCAAAATAGCATGAAGGAAAGTTTGCGCCGGAACACGCCTCCTCTTTGCGCTGAACCGCCCCGGGGAGCGCAAGTGTATTTCTTAGTTAACCGACGTGTGTCTGTGGAGGGAAAAGCCCGCTTTGCGTGGGTGCAAAATAGGAATGATACATGCGTCAGTGTACAAAGTCATTTGCGCCGAGTGCAAGATAGGGCCCATAGACACATAAACAACATTAAAAGCTGGATTTTCACCACAGGGGGACTTTAAATGATACTTTAGCTGATATTGTACAACAAGATATGATGTGATTAATGTATCGCAACATCGAAAACGAGAGAGTCTGCTGCTTTTTGTCGACCTAAAATGCAGGGAAAATGTCATGATTAACTATAAAGTGTTCATGGAAAGGTTTCCAGCGTCTCCATTCATCCATTTAATAATCGTCCCTCCAGCCCATGCAGAGAGCTGTGCATGATCTAATTTAAAGGTCTAAAACGACCCAGTTGTTCACTGAAAGAATACACATTTGTAAATGCCCCTTAACAGCCCCCCCATCATCTGTCATGTGACCCGCCTTCTGACTGACATGTGACACGGGCCCAGTGCCAATCCCAGCGAGAGATTACAATCACATGACTGCCGGTGCAAATAGGTGAAGCTCAAGAAAACGATATGCATAAAGAAAATAAAGCTATTTTCAATGTACATTTTACCCTAAATTCTCATTACTGTGATTGTGTTATTCCTATTATTCTCAGTGGTTGTTCTAATTATATTAGAGGGGGGAAAAATACTTCAATGCAATTTTTTTTATTCAGAATTTTTAATATTGTTTAATCAGCATAAATTAAATACTATCATAATGTAAAACTATACCATTTTAATAAAATCCCCCCTTTTTTGTATTAAAGTAATGAAAAAATAATTCATCCTTCATTCTCTGAAATATAATTTTTGGGCATTTTGATGTAAAACCAGACGTACTTGGCAATGAAAAATAAAATAAAGCTATTTTCAGTGGTCATTTATGTACATTTTTACTCTAAATTCTCATTATTTTTAGTGGTTGTTCTTATTATATTAGATGGGGAAAAAATCAGTATTGTATTCAGTATTTTTAAAAAAAAATAATAAGCATTAATTAAATATTACCATAATGTATAACTATACCATTTTAATAAAATGCCCCAATTTTCTGTTTGCATTAAAAATAATAAAAAAAATATTTTAACAAATAACTCATCCTTCATTTCTGAAATATAATTTTCAGTCATTTTGAGGTAAAACCACACAGATACTTGGCCGAGTTTATAAGGTTCCCATTAAGAGAGACAAAAATGACAAAAAAACATGCAGAGAAATGAACTATATCAGACTCTGGCATTGACGTCGGTTTAATCCTCCTCTGAAAAAGATTGACTCTAATAAAGGATTTATCAATGATGGACGCTCACCTGTCCTCCAGGATTTTCTGTGTGAAACTGATAGTGAACGTTTCCATCCACATGAGCTAAAGGACGAGGATCACCGGCCACTGCCAAACCTGCACACATGAAACATGTGGATTTAATAAAGTTCATCGGCATCAAAATAATTTGAGATTATATTTTATAATTAATAGTACTTTTAAGTAATCTAAAAGTATCTCGATTAACATGAAATATAATGCATACAACATGTATAATAAAGAATAAACAAAACAAAGTGTTCAAGATTAATTATAGCACATCATACTGCTGAAACAGTGCTAAACTTGCTCAAAACCCAGAACTAAAGCAAATATCTTGGGAATTAAGTACATCAGGAAAAGAGAGAACTATAACAAACAAAGCATGCATCATGGAACAAATGTCTTAGAAAAAGCATTATCATGTGACCAACACAACTTAATAACAGACATACCTTCAGCTATTTGTACAACCTTCTTGACTTGATTTTTGTGACTGCAGATAAACTTGTTCCTGTGACGCATAAAAGTACAATATGACTTTTATTTATTTTTTACAATCACATAGTAACTTCTCTGAAGTTGTTGGTCTCTATATATAAAATACAAAACAATTCTGAGGACCATCAAATTGCATTATTACAATATATGTTCTTCAATCATTGTCTTCACAGACTTACAGAGCATTCCTGTATGCATGGCCCATCTGTGATAGCTCTCAGTGAGAATCTGAGCTGCGTACAGACTGTGTGTGGTGCATTACCTGTGTGAAGAGTGTGTGTTGAGCTGCAGCTGATCCATCAGTGCTCTGACTCTCACACACACTGATCATGATCACGGGAACAAACACTGCAGTCATGTGAGATTCTGCTTCTTCTTCTGAGGCTCAATGGCAGCAGTACTGCCACCAACTGGAATAAGATATTATATTTCAATAAATATATAAATGTAAACGTTTAATATACATTATATACATTGTATATATATATATATATATATATGTGTGTGTGTGTGTGTTTTATATTATTTTGTGCTATTATTATTATTATTAATATTATTTTTATGTTTTATTTTATATTTATTTGATCAAAATACAAAAAAAAAACTGTAATATTGCGGAATATTATTACAATTTAAAATAACTGAATATATTGTAATTTATTCCTCTGATCAAAGCTGAATTTTCAGCATCTTTACTCCAGTCTTCAGTGTCACATGATCCTTCAGAAATCATTATCATATGCTGATTTATTATCAATGTTGGAAACAGCTGTGCTGCTTAATATTTGTTTGGAACCTGTGATACTTTTTCTGGATTCATCAATAAAAAGTTAAAACAGGATTTATTCAAAACAGGAATCTTTTCTAACAATATAAATCTTTACAATCCCTTTTTATCAATTTAACACATCCTTGGTGAATAAAAGTATTAATTTCTTTCAAATAAAGTAAGAAAAGACCCCAAACTTTGGAACAGTATATTCTAAATAAATGTTTTTTTTTCTTTGTTTTTGCTTTTTATTCATCAAAGAATCCTAAAAAAATAAATGTTACAGGTTTTAAAAAAATATTAAGCAGCACAACTGTTTCCAACATTGATAATAAATCATCATATTAGAGTGATTTCTGAAGGATCATGTGACACTGAAGACTGGAAAATTCAGCTTTGATCACATAAATTACAGTTTAGAGTTTACTATATATTTACATAGAAAACAGCTATTTTACATTGTAATAATATTTATATAATCATTTTTTAAACAGTTTTTTCTGTATTTTTGATCAAATAAATGCAGGTTTGATGAGCTGAAGAGACTTTTTTTAAAACCAGTAAAATAGTAGTTTCATGTTTCCAATGTATACACACATTAAGTTATATGAACAAAACTCGGAGCAACTTTAGGAAATCTATGTTTGTCTTCAATTAAACCTACCTATAATCAAAATATTATAACACAAAAATTCAAGCTCTTTGTTTTACATACAAAATAAGAGCACTGGATAATTTTGCCTGAAGTCTTTTCACTGTGACCACCAGATGTCCTCCTTTCGAGCGCTTCAGTGAATCATTTTGCCAATATATTCAGTTTCTAAGTCTTATAAAACTACGTTTTCTCACCACTTATTGTAATAATTTCGTTTAATGTTGAGTGAGGTCTAGATATGCTGCTATCGCTGCGTATAGTTACAACAGTCAGTCACACGACCTTTAACCTACTTGTGAAAGGAACCAATTTTAAGTCCGTTTCAGCTCGAGTGCAAGAACACCCAAAGTTACTGATTGGCCACAGCTCAGGTTTTGATTGACAGCTCCCATATCTGAGCAGTTCTATTGGCTCACAGAACGGGCGTACGCTAAACCCCGCCCCTAATGGTGTCACACCACTAGTGCTCCGGCTAGATCCTTCTGCTGAAGTTCACCGATGCCCGGCGTCGAACAGAGGAAGGTCCACGATGAGCGCCCGAGTTCTGGTCGGAGTTAAACGGGTCATTGATTATGCTGTCAAGGTACACATCAGATAAAACACACGCTAATGCTTTTAATTATGAATAAACATGGTGTTGTCCTGCTTTGGACAGTTTATGGCATGGAAAAGAGCTGAGTGTAGGCCAGCTGCTCTGTTGAATGAGGGTAGCTCTATAAACTGGGTTGTTTGATGAAGGTCAGCGTTATTAATATTGTTATTTTAATTCATATCTGACGAAACTACTTACAATCATGGCCGTGGGATCATAATAGTAAACTATAGTCTACTGTAAACAACTGTCCAGATGTAGTTTCATAAACATGCACGTTGCGTAACATAATAATTAGTCCTGTTAAATCGATTAATCGCATCTAACATAAAAGTTTGTTTATTTAATATATGTGTACATTCACACACACACACACACACACACACACACACACACACATACACACACACACACACATATATATATATATATGCAAACACAAACTTTTGTTATTAATTGCAATTAATTGATTTGATAGCACTAATGGAATTCCTAAAAAGTAAGGTGTTTTCACATTTAATCAGGGTTCATGTTAAAGTTTATATTATTAATAATATCCATTGTCAAAACATGTGGGTCACCATTAATGGACATATTTTATTTTCCATCTGTTGTCTATTTGTAATTGCATTTAGGCAATTTATATGCACATGCTTAGATTTATATTTAATATGTAAGAAAATGGCATCATTTATCAAGTACTTTTATCCAAAGTTATTTGTATAATTACACTTTTGTTTAAAATATAGGGGGAGAATGGACATTTTATTTAACAGACTTATGAATTCATCATCTTTCTCATTTAAGGTCAGTGTGTAGTATAAAAAATATACAGAATTGATAAGAAAATGTATTAAAATATTAATAGATCACTGACAAAAAAAAGTGTCATGGTTGAGATGACTTGATTTTCAAGATACAATTTTTTTTTTTATTACATAAACGTATTTTATTGATCACACAATTAGCAACATTTTGTTTAACGTAGTATGCAGATCTACAACATTTGCTTAATATATGTGATATACACCCAGTGTGCAAAACCGTATCTCTGAATGAATACTCATTTTCTGATTTAGTCTGTAATCTTTGTTCTTGTGACCTTCTATTTAGGCCTTTATCAAGAAATCAGATTACAGATGAGTTGCTATGCTGTGATTTATTGATTTGTCAGATCATATTGATCAGGCTTGTTACCAATACATTGTCAAATGTCCTAAATATGTGTCATTGTGATCTTTTCCAATCAGATTCCAGTGAGCTAGAGCTGGATGTTCAATGTTAATGTATTCGGTGTGATTTGTGATCCTGAAACCTCTGATCTGACTCGGTCGGTTATGATCCAGATCCAGTACACCTTATATAGGGATATTGATCCGAAAGTATGTGTCCTCCTCAATACTGCTTGAGTTACAGAGCGATCAGTGTGTGCTGTGGGTTATGAAACAGCCTCTGTTGTATCAGAGTCTCTGTGTCCTTCATGCCACTCTTGGAATAGTATGTGCACAGGTCATCTGAGGTCAAACACGTCGCCTCTGAGTGTGAATGTTTTGGACAACCTCCAGTTAAGCTCAAATCTATTAAAGTTCAAAGATTTGATTGATTACAAAACTATTCAAATTGTTTTTACAGCACATAATAGCCAATCGCCTAGAAATATCCAAGAGCTTTTTCAACTGTGAGAAAACACGTACAATTTCAGAGGAATATCAATGTTTAGTAAACCGTTAATTCGAACAAATAGTAAGTTCATTCATTTATTTATTAAGCACTTTTACACAACTGAACAAAGTGCTCTACAAAAATAGAGACAAAAACACAGCCATTAACGCCACGGTTAAGTGACGACAAAATAAACACCTCAGCTAAAAAAAAGCCACTATACCCCGTTAAATGCTAAATCTAAAAGGTATTTCTTAAGCTTTTGTTTAAAAACAGTTAATTTAGGTTCCAATCTAATAGAAAGAGGTCGGTCATCCCAGAGATTTGGAGCAATCGCTACAAAAGCTCGATCTCCAAATCTCTGTTTTGTTCTTGGAGTTGTTAAAACCAGCTGACCTCAAAGACCGTTTTGGTTCATATTTCTTAATCAGATTTACCAAATACAATGGAGCCATACCATGCAGTGATTTATAAACAAATAGTAAGTTCCATTCCTGTGTGACAACCCTGGGTGTTATCCTGTGGAACAACAGTAATAATGATATAAAGCTATGTAAAAACTTATAGCAACTGAAATTTCTATTTTTTAAAAAGAATCCTAGATGGATATGAGCGGGAACAGTGATTTTCTTTCTTTTTAGTGTTGATTTTTATTTAGTTTGAATATCTAAATGATGCAAACAATTTAAAGGGATAGTTTACTTTGAAATTAATTTTTGGTATGTTTTAGCTTAGCTCAAGGGCATCCAAGATGTAGGTGTCTTTGTTTCCACAGTATTTTCAATTTTGATATTTTTAGGTCAAGCCGTTGTTGTCTGTCAGTCATATAATGCAGGTCTATGGTCACCACCTCAAAGAGCATGCACAGAGAAGTCCAAATTAAACATGATTTAATGACTCGTAAATGTAAGTACACATTGATGGCCTAAGACACGAAACGAGCGGTTTGTGTGAGAAAACGAACAGTATTTATATCGTTTTTACCTCTTGTAAACACAGCCACGTCCAAGTGATCTGAGGGCGCCGGCGCTTCGGTCTGCGCGTTACAAGAGGTAAAAACGATATAAATACTGTTCGTTTTCTCACACAAACCGCTCGTTTCGTGTCTTAGGCCATCAATGTGTACTTACATTTACGAGTCATTAAATCATGTTTAATTTGGACTTCTCTGTGCATGCTCTTTGAGGTGGTGACCATAGACCTGCATTATATGACTGACAGACAAGAACGGTTTGACCTAAAAATATCAAAATTGAAACTACTGCGGGAAACAAAGACACCTACATCTTATATGCCCTTGAGGTAAGCTAAAACATACCAACAATTTATTTCAAAGTGAACTATCCCTTTAAGTAGCTAAAATATTTCATAGAAGTGGGGGTCGGACAAGAAAAGTTATTCTAACTTCTTCCTACACCCTTTGAACATGACTGTTATTTGGATCATCTGCTGATGATCTTTTTCGTTGATTGTTTGTTTTTGTTCAGTTTTGTTGTTGTCTTAAAACATGTTCAATAAAGAAAAAGAAAAAAGAAAAAAAAACATCTATACAGCGCTTTTTACAATACAGTTTGTTTCAAAGCAGCTTTACTGAGATAACAGGAAAATAATGCAACAAAGTTTGTTTCCAGAAGAAAATAGCGTCACAGTTGTAAAAAAAGTTATTAATTTAGTTAATCTATATATGTAGCCGTTCTGGAGAAAACGGTGATGTCATCGTCCAGCTCACCGTCTTGATCCAGCATTGCCGTTATAAATGATAATGAGCTGACCGAGATAAAAGTTCAGCTTGGAATGAAAGTCCTATGAAAGCTTTGTGTTTTTGCTCACGTCCGGTGTGATTACTCCTCTGTGTGTCTGTCTCTGTCCCCCTCAGATCCGGGTCAAGCCGGACCACACAGGAGTGGTTACAGACGGCGTCAAGCATTCGATGAACCCCTTCTGTGAGATCGCAGTGGAGGAGGCCGTCAGACTCAAGGAGAAGAAGCTTGTGAAGGAGATCGTGGCCGTCAGCTGTGGTCCTCAGCAGGTTCAGGTAGGAAATACACAAGTTATACATACATACATATATATATATATATATATATATTAGGGGTGTAACGTACCCTCATGTTACGATTCGATAAGTATCACGATACTGAACTCACGATATGATATTATTGCGATACTCCGAGACGTATGGTAAAATGTTAACAAAAATGACCTGTTGATTAAAATGCTAATTTTGATATTACATTGTGTGTGTAAACGAATAGGCTTGGACTTGGTGCTGGAAACCCAAAGCACAGGACAATAGAGACACCAGAATAACAATATTCATGATTCTGAAGCTGAAAACTTAATTATTTTAGATGAATATGCTTGCACTCTTTCACTGACTAGATATATTTAAAATAATGTAGGCCACTTTTTTCTTGTAACATTAGACATTTGGCATTATCATTATGCCAACTTGCATTATTATACATTATATTCAACATTATATATAGCAGTTATATGTAGTACTGACACTAAAACTCTGTAAACTTGAATTGTGTGAGAAAAAAGTAATTTTTTATTTTGGGTGAACTATCCACGATACATATTGATGCATTTTGGTATTGCGATATATTGTGACACACAATATATTGTTACACTCCTTATATATATATATATATATATATTATATATAGCCGTTTGAGCGAATCGAATGAATGAATGACTCAATGATTTGCTCATTTAGACATTTACCACCACCTACTGGCAGTTTTAGTTTCTTATTAAAGTGTAAATCCAGGTGAAATAATAAATAATATTAAAAAATATGAAATAATCCAGGTGAAAATCCAGTTTTTAATGTTGTTTATATGTCTATGTGGTGTTTTTAATATGCTTTAAGACACACCATGTGTAAGTTCATAAGTCGACAGCATTGCTGAGTATTTTCTGCTTAAAACTGCAGTGAACCAAAGACAGTCTCAAAAACACGGTTTGAAATCGCTGGTGTTTCTGACGTCACAAACGACCTTGTAACCAATCACGTAAATGTGCCGGCGGGCTTTAGCATATCATCAACAGCTACAGAGAAGTCTCGAGAGAAGCCAGGTTATCTTGGTATATTTTTTTGTTGGTATGAAAAAGTGGGTACATTTAGCAATATTGCGGCCGGGTGAATTATGTATGTATATTAAGATTATATGATAAACTATATGCCTTTATCCACTGATGTTCTGAGTTGTAAGTGTTTCTAAGGGTGCTGATTGTTAGAAGGCAGACTGAGATGGCGAACGGGAACATGGTTTGTGTATCATTAGCATTATTAGCTGTTTGATAACATAGTCAAGCAAAAGCCTAATTATATTAATTACCGTTATGTGTGCGACGTTGTAAAGAGCGACACCGCTGTGCAGCGCTTCCCTCAGTAAGTTGAGCGAGTGGATCTCTCAGCTGCTGTGAGTGAGTGGAGGCGGGGCTCATTTGCATATTCATAGAACCGCGTACACTAAATGAGGGGGTAGAGATACATTCAAGCTATTTTAAGGCATGAAGACATTTTTTTTCACAGGAAAACACATTTAAATATGTCATTTTGGTGATCAAAGATGAGTTTTAAGGGATAAAATGATTGACTACAGGGGGACTTTAAGAGTTTCGTGTCTTTGTTTGTTTACTACATGCAGGGAAAATATAAAATCAGTTATTCATTTCTGGGTGCGTTACATTAATATCTGTGTTGCAGGAGACAATCCGGACTGCCCTGGCCATGGGTGCGGACCGCGGGATACATGTGGAAGTGTCTGGGAAAGACTACGAGACGCTTGGTCCCCTGCAGGTCTCCAAGATAATGGCTGCTCTCGCTAAGAAAGAGGAAGCCGATCTGATCATTCTGGGTAAACAGGTAGCTGATGCTTAATTATTGTACAGTATTAAAAAAATTACTGAATATTCATCAGTTGATTTCATGATATTGTGTTATCTTCCTCTTTTAGGCCATAGATGATGACTGCAATCAAACTGGACAGATGACGGCAGCTCTATTGGACTGGCCGCAGGTTTGCGCCCATCTGTATATTTAGTAATGTTTGATAAAGAAAGCATCACTATTACTATGGACCGGATTTGAAGACCCTAGCATCATGGTAGTGATTTTTGCATGAGCATTGTTCCTCAGAAAATGTACATGTAGTGACAATAACCTTCTTGTCACTTAGGGCGTTTTCACACCTGAAAGTCCGCACCAAGGTCCGAACCAAAGTTCACGTTTTAATACATTTGATACTTTCAGAAAGTTTTGGTTTGGTTTCACATTGCAATTATGTGAGCGCACTAAATAACTTTACGTGACATACGTGCGTCCTGTCGTCATCATCTGTGTGGGCTGCATCTTGACATTGATTGGTTTGTAAATGGACGTGCGTCTGACGTCAGCGTGTTGTCAATTCGGCGGGTAACTTTGACAACATGAATGAAAAGACATTGCAACTATATTGTTATTTTTATGGCATAATTACCTGCAGCACCAACTTTCTCATGGCATCGCGCGCCTTTGTATATTGCTGTCGCAGTTTCTTTATCTTCAGGTGGCATTGCTCTCCCGTCCTCTCATACCCTCTCTCATCCTCTACGAAAATATTTGGAAAGTGTCTGGATTTTTGTGCGTTTTTTCCAGTTGATTTATTATTATGTCATCAGGCCATACTTCAATTAAAAACCTCGTCTCCTCCTCTCCACATGTGCCTCGGCTTATTTTTCCTGCCACCTTCTGTTTTTTCGGCTATACCACCGGAACTTCCTGTAAAAGGTCTGAAAGTCCGAACCATACAGAAATGCTTTCACACTAGAAACGAACCAAACCTTTGTTCAGTTTGATCCGGACCAAGACAAGCTCTTTTCGTCGGACCAAATTTCATCTGTGTGGTCTGGGGGAGGTTTCACACCTGTAATTTTGATTCGGACCAAACTGAAAAGTCCGAAAGTCCGGACCAAACGAGGTAGGTGTGAAAGGGCCCTTAGAGGTGTTGTGTTAGGATTATTTCTGATGCGTGAGATCCAATCAAGACGCTTCCAGTCCAATACTGCATTTATCCCTTTATTTGTCACAGTTTCGATGCCAAAACACATTATAATCCACAAATTTGCATGTCCACATACAATCCTGACACGGTCAAAAATGGTTTGTTTCCTTCTTTACTTACTCCTGACCGCACTTGCTCTACTTATTAAACCCACACTTCACCCAGTGTCCAACAGTGGAACTACAACATATTATAAATAGAGCACAATGGCTCTTACTGTGCAAATTGAGTCTAAATTGATATTTGGTCTGCCTGTTATGTCACATTTCTTTCTGGACTGAGAGTGACCGAATTCCCCCGAATTATTTTATCATTTTCTAGGGAACGTTTGCATCTGAGTTGACCTTAGAAGGAGGCAAGCTGAAGGTGGTGAGAGAAATTGATGGTGGATTGGAGACCATTATGATCAATATGCCAGCCGTTGTGACCGCTGACCTCCGTCTCAACACTCCCAGATACGCCACGCTGCCCAACATCATGGTACAGTAATGCAACACTGATGCTCCGTGCGCCCATACGTGTTTTTTTTTGGTAACACTTTACAATAAGATTCATTAGTTAACATTAGTTAATGTATTAATTTACATGACCTAACCATGAGTAATACATTTGTTCCTGTATTTGTTAATCTTTGTTAATGTTAGTTAATAAAAATACAGCACTACATTGTTAGTTCATGTTAGTTCACAGTGCATTAACTAATGTTAACAAGATTTTAGTTAAGTATTAGTAAATGTTGAAATTAACTTTTACAAAGATTAATAAATGCTGTATAAGTGCAGTTCATTATTAGTTCATGCTAACTAATTAACTTAACTAATGTTAACCTATTAACCTTATTGTAAAGTGTTACTTTTTTGTTTTTTTGTTCTAGCAATACTAGGATCATGGGTTCGATTCCCAGGGAATGCATGAACTGATCAAATGCATACTTTGAATGCAATTTAAGTTGCTTTGGATAAAACTGTCTGCTAAATGCATATGTGTAAATGTAGACACTACATTTACATTTAGTCATTTAGCATTTAGTCACTACCGGTCAACATTTACATTTAGTCACTACCGGTCAAAAGTTTGGAATTAAAATTTGTAATGTGTTTGAATGAAGTCTCTTATGCTCACAAGGCTGCATTTACTTGATCAAAAATACAGTAAAATTCTGAAATATTACCACAATTTAAAGTTACTGTTTTCTATGTGAATATATTTTATAAATTAATTTATTTCTGTGATCAAAGCTGAATTTTCTGCATCGTTACTCCAGTCTTCAGTGTCACATGACCCTTCAGAAAGCATTCTAATATGCTAATATTTTAATATTTCACAATATTGTTGTTTTTACTTTATTTTTTATTGTATAAATGCAGCCTTGTCAACAACAACAACAACAACAAAAAATAGAAATTTGTCAAGGACTGATGTAAGGCTAAGATGTTTTAGTGATTTTTTCCCCCATACTATTTAATGCATGCATAATCTAATTTTCTAATGAGAATTAGCATTTTCAAATGGTTCCCTCAGGATGTTTAGATGGGAAAAGCACTTTTCAATTTAAATTAATGAAATTCTATGGTTAACATTAAATTGACGAGACGTAATTTTTTTAAATGACCAACCTAAGTGGAAAGCTGGGAAGAAAACATTCTGCAAAACCTGTACCGTATGGCATGTATTAGTTTTATTTTTTGTGCCTCCGTAGAAAGCGAAGAAAAAGAAGATTGCGAATGTGAAGCCTGCAGACCTGGGGGTGGATGTGAGCTCACGGTTGGAGGTGCTCAATGTGGACGAACCTGCTCAGAGACTCGCCGGAGTGAAAGTGGAGACCGTCGAGGATCTGGTGGGAAAACTGAAGGAGGCTGGAAGAGTATAGAGGAAGTAGATGCAGTGCAGACTAACACTGAAGGTAAGGATATACTATCACACCCACTGAGCGTTAATTTAAGTAATTTAATTGCATGGCTAAAGTAGTTCCAGGCAGGTTTTGACCGCATTACAGCTCCATATCACTTCGCCAAAGGATGTCAGTTATTTCAAAGGTCCTTATATCCGACAGCAAACAGCAAAAGAACCAAAACCCACAATGACACTGACCAAGCAAATAAATATAGTAAACAATAGGATAAAAACAACTAATTATTTCCAAGTAATTACATTTAATTATCTATGGAAAGCACTTTCTCTTTCTCCTGCTCTCTCCCCCATAAAAAAATGCACACACATACAGTACAGGCACATAAACGAAACATTCACGCACATAGGAAATTGTCAGCACTGCCCTGCGACTTTATCAATAAAATCGATTCGCATCAGCAAAACTAAACATTTCTCAATATTGAGGCAGCTGTTTTTGAAGCACTTAAACTTACAGTTTCGCTACTAGTAGAAACGCTGCTGCTGAACACTGAGAGACACACAGACTCAGGTAATTCACACACGCTTAATCTCTCTCTCTCTCTCTCTCTCTCTCTCTCTCTCTCTCTCTCTCTCTCTCTCTAAAAACTGCATTAGTCTGCATATCAATGTCTCAAGCCTTCGTTACTAGCTCTAAAATGACATTTTGGGATTAGCTTGGGATGAGATGCGTAAGAAATTAGTTTGACACGAGGGTTTTAAGAAGAAAAATCTGACAAATGTCAGAAATAAAATAAAAAAATCTTAGTATTGGCAGAATAATTGACTCCAGGCCATTGAATTATCAGGAAAATAACACACACCCGAGGTGTAACGTGACACTTCGCACCGTGGTCGAATTAACCACCTTGAGCGTGCATTATTTTTCTAATAATTCAACAGCCCAGGGTGAATTATTCCTTACTTAATGCGACAACTGAACAATTCCTTTGTTATACAGTATTTACTGTATTAATACAAATACAACTACCTGTTGTTAGTTCATGTTAGCTCAGGTTTATTAACTAATACAACTTTTGATTTTATTAATGTGTTGGCGAATGTTGAAATGAACATGAACTAAGGTTAATATATGCTTTAGAAGTCTCTTTCGTTGTTAGTTCTACTAATGTTAACAAATGAAACCTTATTTACTGATTAAACGAATAAAACATGATGTCTAGAAAGCAACATGGAAGCAGGTTGCCTCCTTTTTGGCTGACACATAGTAACAAAAATAAAAATATAATGTAGTTTTAATACTCATGAATAGGTTATATGTTGTCCTTTTTTGTTTTCTGTAGGTCTTTTATAACTGGTGATGGAGCAAACTACTGTTGATCAAACTCTGAGGCCAGTAAAGTCTGCATCGGCCCCCGTCACAAATCCAGACCAGACCCATGTAGTTTATATTGTATCTGTGTTTTTGACTCTTATGTTCTTGTGAATGCTGAGAGACACTGATCCATCAACGCCCATCCGTCCCAGCGAGGGCTCACCAGTTCTTCTGTGCATTATAAGAAACAGGACATCAATATATAGGGAACACTTTTGAATGCACTAATAAGCCATTATATTTGTTTCATTGATATGTTGAGTCAAAATCAGAACTGTCTGTGCTTCCTGAAATTAATTGTGTAATGAAAAACTGTAGTTTGAATGAGGCTTAGAGTTTATTGATGTTGTTAAAAGATAAGCATCATTTTTAACCAGACAGTGTCTCTCAGCATGAAGAAAGAGTAGATCACATTACCACAAGCGCCTCTAAATGAGTCCTGATTGTACAGTATCATTTGATGACAATAAAAAGTTGTCTTTTTCATATGCGTATCATTATTGTGAGTCTCATTCATTTTTTGGGGCCTGTATTAATGAGGGGTTTGCTTTTCTACTCCCTCTTAAAGCTGCAGTGCAATGTTTGTGATGTTGAAATACTTGTTCCTATCCCAGTGCTGAGACAACTGTACAGAGAAGACATGCAGAGCAGATAGATGCTCTTGTGGTTTATTTGTACATTTCTGTCAAGGTTTGAGCTTGTTGTCTAACCTGTTGTGTGGGGAAATGATTTGGAAACACACAGAGGCTTACTGGTAAACAAAGGGAGAGCTGGGACGCATGTGGGTTCTGCTGAATGAAGACATCAGGTAATCTCTCACAGTTCTCGTCTTTATCCTGTGGTGTACGATTACTTTTTTAAGCCATTCTGCACGCTATTTTAATAATCTGTATGCTGCATGAAGAGAACTTAGCATCTCAACAGTAGTGTTTGCTCTTAAAAAGTTGAACTAAAAAAATTACTTTAAAATTAAGGACGGTCTTATACTATAGGAGTTGCTTGGCCCTTAACAAATCCAAAACCTCCATTGGATCCCACTCAAATTCCAGGATTTTTATCCACTGAAAGGATAATTTTGGATGTCCATAGTCAGTGGTTCTCCATCTTTTTGGCCATTGTCCACAACATATTCAAAGACTCCATAACTTTTTCAGTTGTTTGTTTTACTGGAAATTTTTTTGTTTTTTAACAAATGCAGTCAAAAATTCAATAAAATATTTTACAGCCAGAAGTATATATATTCATAATATTTATCATGTTAATTTGGATAATTTACGTTATTTTAGGTCTAGGAATCACACCAGTTTCTTAAAACAGTTGTATGGGGGGTGAATACATTTTTTTTTTTAAAGAATTATATTTTATTGGCTTACATATACCGGTGCTATTACTATATAATTGTACATATATATATAAGCCAATATTTATTAAACATATTTTAGTGATGTGTGTATGTATAGGACTGTGTATGTCAAATATGTATCAAAATTTCAAAATATGTAAAATATATGCCTAAATGTAAACAAGCAAATATATATATATATATATATATATATATATATATATATATATATATATATATATATATTTAATACAATAAAAAAAAAAAACGTTTTTGCTTGTAAGTAGTAATCATTACAATTTAGTGCTGGTATTACTTTTATGGATAGTTCATCTTCTCGGCCTCATGTTGTTCTTCTAAACCTGTATGTTTCTTTCTTTCTTCTGTGGAACACATAACGTGTTATTATTTTTAGGCAGAATAAGCCATTTTAGTAATTTTTTGCATTGGGAGGAGAATTATGCAATGAACGTGGAGGAGGATGCTGTCCGTCACTAACAATCTGCTGTACGTCTCTTTTGTTTTCCACGAAAGAAAGAACATCGTACATGTTTGAAATGAGCATTTGGTTTGAACTATCGCTTTAAACCATAGACTGTCACAGTAATAAAGACGCAGGACGCTAAGCCCCGCCCACTCATGCACTTCATGTCATGTGTGACTGATGGAATAATTTCTTCAGGTAAATCTCTCCTGGACGGAGGAGTTTGGGAATTTCTCAGGGATGTGAAGTGACTTCACAACTATTCATCAGTTTTCAAGGGAATATGACTTCATCATCAAAATTAAAACTCTGACCTACAGCTTTAGTTTGAGTTTGTCGACATGCAGACGCTGTCTAGTTTGATTTGTGTTCTTTTGTTCTTCATTGCAGGTAAGTCAAAATCCAATCTCATCATTTATACCTATAAATGAATATATTATTATTCATTTTATTGTAAGTGGCAGTCTTTAATATAACTGACTGAGTAAAAAGCTTAATTCTTCTATTATTATCCTCACGATATCAAAACACATTGGGTAAGTTGTGAGTTCTGTGTTTGCTGGGATATAAGTTAATCTCATCTCAGTGATTGCAACACAAAAAATGTTACGTGGATTTTCATGTACAATTAGCCTACATATAAAGCCTTATGAAATCCTTGTGGTGTGTGGGATTATAATTGTCGCCGTTTTTCAATCGTTTTTGTCCTAAAAAAAACTGTTGTCAGTCACTAACTTAGTGAACTTGGTCAGTATTACTATTAGGCTATGTAACAGAAGGTCAGCCAATGATCAATTAAATATTATTTTACATTTTTGTTTCAATTTACTTCATTTTTAGCAAAGTTCATGAATGCCACTCTTATAGCTTTCTCTTATCTATAATCAAATCTAAATAGTCATTTAGGTAATTTCTAACATCTGGGTTTTGTTTAAAAGTACCAATTCAACATTGTTGGCACATTTACCCACTTTTTGAATAACATAATCACTTTGGGATGTAATGGTTAAGGTTAAATTTAATGTTGTAGATTTCAGGGTTAATCTGTACATTGAAGAAGCAAAATCTTAGATGTTTTACGCTTGCAAACACCCACACACTAACATCATGGCAGAGTTTTGCTAGAAGAATTATTGCTCTTTTTTTTGTCCCCTAATACTATAGGTAACCTATGTTATCTGACCATCTCACCCACGGGACCCGTATCGGCTGAAGCTCTTGTGGGCACCCATGTGACGCTCGGCGTGTCCCACGCTGGTGTCTCTCGGCCCGAGGTCATGTGGTTTATGGGAGACCGTCTGATTGCCAGATGGACCGTTGGTGACGGCTCACTTTCAGGTGTTGCTTTAGACATTTTAAAACCAGAACCGGACGGATCCCTCACCTTCAGAAATGTGTCCCTTAGTTATAACGGTACATACACTGTGGAAATGACTAAAATCGGGGAGGCAAAGGTCAGCGCTACATTTGACCTCTTTGTTTATGGTGAGTATGGAGAATATGGCTGAGAATTCAGTATGTGTGTGGGGTAACATATTATAATTAGTGATTGACAGTTATATTGATTGTTTATATTTGGCTGTATTGATCAATAACTGATTAACAAAACCTACTGGTTTGAACGTGTAGATACTGTAGCAGCCTTGTCAAATAGATTTAGCTTTTTATTTATTTGGATAAAGCGAGTGTTAAAATTTAGAATTTCAACCATTTAATTGTATTTTTCATATACACCTTGTTTTTAGATGCCATTAAAAAAAAAACATTCATAATGTACGTTGTAATGCATTATATATCTTTTCATAAATAATTATAACCAAAGTTGAAATGCATAATAATATTTGCAGATTCCTTGTTACATCTAAAATGTAACATTGGCCGATAAATCTAAAACCCAATTTTTAGATAATTTTTGAAAGCCTGATTACAAAAACAAAAGTCTCACCATTAAAAGCCATGTCTCAAGCACTTCAACATAAATCAAACAAAAAAAAAGTACAGTAGCCTAGTTTGAACCAGTGTAAGTTTTAAAATAAATGTTACACTTCTATGGCCAACTTTCCTTACCAGAAAAAAATTTGAATCATATTTCAAGCGATTCACACCATCATGGCGAACAGCGCTCATCTGAAGGAAATAATCCATTAATTATCAGCTTTAATACATCGGCCAAATTTTCTTATCGGGCTGATTATAATAACATTAAAAATGAACATATATCGTCCGATACCGATATGTTGGCCGATATATCTTGCATCCTTAATGTTCATGAATAAAATTAAGCAATAATTATTTAAAAGCACTTATACTGAGCCATCGCTTTTCCTAAAGACCGTCATTATTTCCTAGTTTAGCTATTGCTCCTCGTCTCATGACACATGCATATAAGAGTATTTAATAAGTGTCTTTGCACCTTAAGCAGCAAAAACAGTGTTGCTACACTCTAAAAAATGCTGGGTTATTTCAACCCAAATTTGGGTCAAATATGGACAAACCCAAATATTGGGTTAAAAATTTAATTAAAAAATGTCAAGTTGAAAGTGAAAGTTGAAGTTGGGTTACAATTTTAAATTTACAATTTTTAACCCAACATTTGGGTTTGTCAATATTCTACCCAATTTTGGGTTAAAACAACCCAGCATTATTTAGAGTGTAAGTGTGATTCATTTCCACGAGTCTCTTTCTCAACAGATATCATCATGAATGCATCCCTGCACACGGATTCAGACGACTCCGTTGAGGGGGAAGCGAAGTTCTCCTTGTATTACAGCACAATGCGAGGGGAGGCTAAAGAGGTGCGCTGGTTCTTTAATGGGCTCCAGGTAAAAAATGCATCTCATTATTCCATCGCTGGAAAGAAACTCACAATAAACCAGCCCACTAGGAGTGACGCGGGTCGCTACACTGTATCACTAACCAACCCGTTCAGCAATGAGACGCTTCACAGGAACATCACAGTGCTGTGTGAGTAAATATGGGAATGTTTATGACTCTGGGATCTTGTTACCTTAGGCAGAATGTCATTAAGATGCTTCTACTTTCCCAACAGTAGCCCGTTTCATTTCCTACATCTTATTCTCCCTCTTTTGCTGCCCTTAGATGGACCAGATAAGCCCGTTCTCAAGGTCAGTCCCACAAAAGCAGTCTTTGTTTCGGGAGAGTCTCTGTTCCTCTCCTGTCAGGCCGAGGGTGAACCGGCCCCCTCCACATCGTGGTTTCTCAATGGCGAGTCTATTGCAACGTCTGGAACTGGAACAGTCCATCTCAGCAATATTAAGACGAGTCAAAGTGGCGTTTACACTTGCGTGATGGTCAACACCAGAACTAAGGCCACACTTCAGAGAAACCTCACTGTAATTATCTATGGTACGAGTTTGCAGTTCAGATTTAATATGGGCAAAATATGGAAATACTAGCATGTTAGGATGTTGTGCATGTAAATATTCTCTTCGGATGGCTTGATATTTTTTCAGGCAAGAAAACATACAAAATAAACATTTAAGTGTTTATTTT